TTTTTTTTTTTTGCTATATGGAAGTTGTGGGATTGCACACTCACTTTTATTTCGTCTATGCACTCTATGTACTCCATGCACTACAATTTTTTTTTTCTATTATTTTATTACTATTTATATTATTTTTTTTTTTCCCCATTATCCGAATATTTTTTCTACATATATATGTGTATACAAACACATCAAATGTGTGCACATATGGACTACACATAATTAATCGGCAGACAGTTATTCACGCCTTCAGTGATGAAAAGCCAGCACGTTCTATTATTGGCAACCACCGCCTGGACGGTCGAAGTGGTAGTGCTACATCTGTGTCCCATAATGAAATCCACCCAGCAATATCGAAACCTAAGATCGGAACGGATAATAAGCTTTTAAATTGTTAATATATTAATCGATTTTTCCTTTTATTGGTTATTATTTCTAGGTTTATTGAATTTGAAGATGAATCTTCCGCTAGTACAGCTGTAACTTCCATGAACAATTTTGAGTTGGGAGGGTTAATTCTACACGTAGGGAAGGCAGTTATTGGAGGACCTCTTAGCGAAGGAATGAAAGCTATTGATAAGTTACCTCCTCTTCCTGCAGGAGCTACTCCACCTCCACCTATTGTAACATCACCTTCTGTTTCCGCTGCAGGTATGTAATTGTTCTAGATACTAGGAACGAGTTACCGTTTTTAACCTAATTGAAAAACTTTTATAGCGGCAGCAGTTAAAGCGCAAAATGCGGCAGCAAAAATTGCGGCAGATCTCGCAGCAAGAGGTCAAACCGCAGTAGAATCAGTTGCACAAGAAGAGAATATGAGTATCAGTGCCAGTCAACGTTATGCAATTATGCAGAAATTAGCGAGACAAGAGGTATGTAAACTAAACAGTTTATTGCGTTTAATTAAAATCTAACAGGACTTTACGTTAAACCTATCAATTTTAGTCGTCTCCAGTGGTGGTTATAAAAAATGCGGTTTCACCTTCTGAAGTTGATGATACTTTAGAAGACGAATTCAAAGAAGAATGTGGCAATTATGGTAGCGTTGAAAAGGTGGTAGTTCATATTGATTCCGAAGAAATTTTTGAAAGTGAACGAGGGTTGGTTAAAATTTTCGTACAATTCGAAGATGAAAGTGGTAAGCCGAAGTATGAACTTATATTCTTTTATGATAGAGAATTGGGAATAATAATCATCACTTTAATTTTTTTTTTATAGCTGCTGAAAAAGCCAAAGATAAATTAGATGGTCGTTGGTTTGGTGGACGTCGTATAAATGCATCTCTATTTGACCTTAAAAAATTCCAAACAGGCGACTATTCTAATTGATGAAAATTAATCGTACATTCACAATTTCATTATCCATTAATTGTTATATAAAACTCTGCAGAATAATTTGTATAATGAGTTAAGTCATTTTTTTAATTAGTTTTTTTTTTCATATTTTTCAATGAATTATTTAGAATTTTTCTAGAAACTTAAGTTGATTAATTTTTAGTTGGAGTATTGATTGTAAATATATATTTTAAGTGATATTGTTAATCTCAAATTGTTATAACATTTTTTTATTATTAATGTTAATGTTAATTAATCTGTTTTCATAGCTGAAGCCTTAGCATCCTTGACTTTCTTTAAAGCTACGATTGTTCCCTGAAAAAAAAAAAATAATAATAATAATTGTTTAAGTCGTTATCATTAAAATATTTTGTTTGTTAAAATAATTATTTACCTTCTTCGCATACCGTTGATTACGAAGAAATTTAGGATCAACCTAAATTAAATTTATTAGAATACATTATTTGCCTTATTTAAATAAATAAAGATACATATAAATATAACATACCCCTTTTAATGAAGGGTAACGATATGTCTTTGGCTTTTTTATACCATTACGGTGAGCCTTTCGATCTAGTTTTTTTTTTTTTTTTAAAAAAAAGGAAAATAAATATAAATAAATTGATACCACAATTCTTGTGTAAATGATTATAGACTTATACAACTTACTTTGATTGTGATTAGTATGATTCTTACTTTTGGCTTGATTAAAGAAAATTTAAATTAGATTAAACAGATTGAGAATTAAATAAGCAACCAAAGCTTATAGCTTACCCATTGCGCTTGAAGTAAATCTTATGATTTTTAGATCATCCAAAGAATAAGGATATAATGATTTTTTTTGTTTTAAAAAAAAAAAAATCAGAATTATTAAAAAATTTTTTTTTCAAAGTATTCTCTCGGATAATATTTTAACTATACATTTCCCTTTATAGCTATTTTTGTCCATTTATAAATTAAATTAATACCGACAAAAATCAGTTTAAAAATTTATACACACCTTTCAAGATTGCAACAAAAGGTTTTTTAAAAAAAAATTTGATATCTCGAAAATTTTATACCAGGATATTCAGATATCACGTGTTTAGGAGCGTAGATTTGGGAAATCGAAATTTTTGGAGGGTTTTAACTTATTAAAAAAAATCCGGTCAAGTTCGTTATATCTAGCTCTGACTGTCTTGATGATTTCCTTTCTTGTATTTAGAATTTGTAGTTGTAAATTTTGATAACATATTTTTTTTAAAATTTTTATTAAATTATTAAGAAACGAACCATTATAATAATGATTTAGATTATATAGGATGAGGAATTTTCAACAAAATTAAAGACTCTTAATGTATTTTTTATAACCATTTTATATAATTCTAACTATGTTTAAATGTAATAATTTAATCAAAATTTTATAAAGTTAATAATATTTGAAATCGTATAAAGATTTATAATTATATCGCATTCACAAGCGAAATGAAATACTTCTGAATCATATCTCCAACTTATATTCAAATACCAAATACTCAATAACAAACAAATTGTGCAATGAAAACTGAAATCAAAGAAATTAAAGTTTATCGCGCCAATAGAAACTTTATTTACATAATAATAATTTTTTT